GGCTGGTAGAAATGCTAAACTGCCAAAGGCATGCGGGAATCCTGTCATTCACTTGACTGCGACACCATTAATATGGGAAGCGACAATGCGCAGCATGCAGCCTTTCATACTCATTGGGGAAGCGTCCGATTCCAGGTAAAACCTTGTCACATCAACAGAGGAAAAACCAGCTTTTTTCACATCCTCCTCGGTGCTCTTGTTGGGAATGCAGCCACAAGTTAGGAATCCGAAAAGGAGTGTTGCCTGAAGAATATTCTGGATCAATCTCAACCTCGTGCCTTTTTTGTCTCCCACGTGCTCGAAAAAATAGAATCTTCCTGCAAATAAAAAAATAGAATATTTAGCAAACTCCTGAAAGCCACGCACTGCTTCACACAATACAGGACGTCTCACTCACCGTTGGGAGCAAGGACTCTTTTGACTTCAGACAAGAATCGACCTGTGTTTTTGAACGGAACGCTACACATGACATGAGTGCACACCACGACATCCATGCTCCCACTCGAAACTTGCTTCATGTCTTCGCCCCATCCTTCGAAGAAATTCTCTAGTTCGATGTCCGGGAACTTCCTCTTGTTCTTGAAAAAGTAGTCTTTGAAGTTGCTGTTGGGCTCGATCACGCTAAGCTTGGCGTTCGAGGGATAGAACTTGAAGTTAGTCCCTGTCCCAACCCCGACCTCGAGAAGGCGGAAGTGACCGGCTTTCTTCAATTCTGGGTCCGAGGAAACGACGTCCTTCAACGAGTGGAAGAAGGATTCCTTGAGAGCCGAGAATTTCTCGTCTGGTTGGGAGGTGACATGCTGCAGCAAAAACGCGAAAAGTTTGTCCCTGACGAGAGAATAGATGAAGAGGACTGCGGCAATGATGCCGACTGTGCAAACCAGGCACCACATCTCCACTGGATAGGGATGAAAACTTTCACTGCTAGACCGTCACGACAAAGTGTGTTTCTTGGATATCCAGGCACAGAACTGTCTGTTATCCTTGCGAGGAAGTACCTTGAGCAAGGAAGGCTGAAGGGAAACTGTGAAGATGCACCCCTTCTCAAGCGGAAAGCACAGTGGACGAGTATAGGAAATTAGACCTACATGGTCTACCTACATATAGACCTACATGAATGGAAGAGGGACGGAGCGAGAGCGAGGCACGACTGGGAATGACGTGGCGGAACTGCATTCTCTCATTTTATCCAAGTCATGCAGGTCTCCCTCATTCAGTATCAGGAAAGAAAAAAAGAGAACCATACAGGCACTCGATGCTTCATTTGAGTTCGTCTTCCTCCCTGCAGTAGTCGATGGAGGCAAGCAAAAAAGACAGGAAATAGGAGTGAGATAGTGAGAGAGAGAGAGAGATATGCATTCGTTCCTCGTTAGTACTCTGCGCTTCCCATGACCGGCCTTACGCTCGGCTTACTGAAATCTTATCGTGGGCCAAGACGATCTCCTCACCTACAGAACCCCAGTTTCTGTTCCGAATAAGTGGTGGACCTCGATTGGGGATGTCAATATGGCCAGAAATACCTCTTCATGCACACCGTGAACTTTGAACTTTGATAGGGAGACTGATGAAACCCTACTGCACATTGCCAATGAAAGTTGTTTTCTGCTACAGCAGCAACTGGAATACTCCTTGTATTACTGACAGTGGTTTTAGTTCTTTCCTAGAAGGGGTGATGGAGAAAGAAGCGCGTGAGAAATACCAGCGATGAGGGAGCATTTCAAGGTATTAAGGTAGTGATATCAAGAGGCGATTGCACCCATTTCGATATCACGTGTCAAGGTCGAGCGTTCCTTAATATTAAGGTAGGCCTAATCCTCTTAAAGCTAAATATTTTTGTATTTTTTTTTTAGCGCATCCTAGTCCCTAACTTCCACATTCCCCCTCCCCCCAAACCTTTTTGCCTTTCCATAAAAGCATCCAGTTTCTTGTTTAAAATAGTCACAGAAGGGGCAGCCACTACGTCCTCAGCTAACGCATTCCACGCGTTCGCCACTATTCAAGTAAAGAATTCCTGTCTCGACCCGAGTCGCACCTACGGTTTACGTAACTTTAGTTGCTTACCTCTCGTTCTCTTGCTGCCATCGAGTAACCGATTCCTTCTTGTTCATTAGAGGCTCGATCGACTGTTGACACCTACAACTAGCATACCGATAAAAAGCCTTGGGGTTCTTCTTAGCATCGCTGGCCAGTCGTCCCTTGACTTCCCGTCTCTCTGATCTTCTTTCCCGCTTCAACGTCCGCGTGATGGTCCTATATTCCTCATAGTCCGTTCTATCTCCCGTGCGCCTATACGTATCCCATATCCACTTTTATCCCTGATGAGTGCTTTGATTTTACCAATAAACCAGACCGGTTGCCTGACCGATTTTATGGATTTCTTAGGGATGCATTCCTCCATAAAGCCCTGCGATAACGTCTTGAACATTGCTCCTCTACCGTCAGCCCACGGGACCTTCCCTCCTAGTCGATGCCTGATACGCATTTACGTAGTCTCCAAATTAGCCTTCTTATAGTTGTACGGAACCTTCGTCAGTTTGGCGTTACTCTTCGTCTGTTCATTTGCTGAATGATAAGAGAATAAATTTGCAATAGCTCACATAGTGCTAACTTTTTACTCCCTAAACGCTCGGAATTTTATGAGTGAAGGCATGTGCCACATGTACCCCACACAGGGCGCAAATTCACAAGGGACACCAAAACGTGTCAGAATAAATGAAGTAATAATGAATGCCACCCACAGTTTTACTTCAAAAACTGGAAATGAATATTTGCGGCGTCTTTATGGACACTAGGAATCGAACCTTCTCCCTTCGGGAGGAGTGGGAGTGGGGGGGGGGGGGGGGTTGGTGGTGTGATTGCACAGGGCACCGAAATGGCTAGGTCCGGTGCTGACGCTTCCCACACCTGATCACGGATGCTACCATGGATATGCTCGGAGTCGGCGCGTGAGCAGAGGCGCATTCATCCATATAGACACTCATTCTCGTGCCCGGTTCTGGAAGGCCATGCATAAATGAAAACGCAGTGAGAGAAATGAGACAGCGTGACAGCATGACAGCGTGAGATGGGCAGTTTATAGTATTCCGTTTCAATGGAATCCTGAAAAAAAAAAAGGATTCAGAGGATCCTCAGTAAATTCATTGCAGCTTGATGCAGTTTCTTGCAGTTCGAGTAAGGTCTTGTTCGTCCCCAGAAGTCTCGGACTATAACTCCATAGAATCCTTGCAAACTGTCGTTATCTGTATCAGCGATTGAGAGAGGATTTCAACCTCTCCTTCACCCAGGACATGTGGAATATGAACACACATGCATACCGGTTTGCACTCTCCGGTTCAGCAGGGATTCAGAACTAGTTCTGCATTTAGCTTGTGAAATTCACCCCACCCCCACCCCCCTTCATACGTATCCACACACCTGAAGAGAGAAAATATGCAGAAATTGCCTCCCGTGACCTTGTTTCCCAACACCCAGAATGGAAGTCCATTCAATGTATGAGAGCCATGAGAAAGGACAGTCGTACTTGGTACTGATGTGCAAATCTTCCCATAGCAGGAGGATTTCATGAATGGAAACCAGGCACATTATCAGGAAGTTCGTTGGTGGTGTACTATCAGTAGGTGTGGAACCTAATAATACATGTCCGATTCCGCCTTTAAAACCCAAGAGCTCCAGTATACCCGGAAGAATACCTAGCTCTCCCCTCCTGCATCCAACACGGAACCTTCAGAGGGTAAGCAGAACTCTACAAGCACTGCATGTTTTACAAACTAGGACATTAAGTTTCAGCGAATTAATTCACTCTACCCTTCCCTGTTCCTGTACGCTTCTGTATTCTCATACTACAGAGTGCGCACAAAGTCCGTATACCCCCTATATGTACGTCAAGCTGACGCGAGTAATCATGCCACGTTCGTGCTGGTGACCTTCGCACGACCTTGGCACGTGTTCTCCCGCTGTCACAAGGTCTGCTTTCGTACGTACCAACAATCGCAATGCGTGGCGGCAGATGCAAGTCGAAGCGATGGCTGACACAAGTGATTACACAATCGAGGAGCGTTTGGTGGCCGCTGTGTGGGTCCATGAGCGTCAAATTAACGGCACATCGATAAAAAAAATGTCATGGACGACTTCGTTGCGCGGTTTGAGAAGGCAGCACCGACAAAGAAGATATGATACGTATATATAGGGGTATACGGACTTTGTGCGCACTCTGTACGTTTAATAATTCCCTGAGCCATATATTGCATTCTAAACCTTATAATTCCATGCTTTCCTCATATATGTTCATGAATTGCAAAATAAAAAGAGGAAAGAGGAGAGGAAACACTTTCGCTGAATCAGGAAAGCAACTATTTAACTGAATCTGAAAGGTGCAGTGAACAGGGGTACAATCTAGTGGGGGCTCTTGGAATTACATCTGGGGGTAGTACCAGCGACATTATGGGAAAAGAGATGGCAGGCTGCCACCAACATTAGGAAGCACACCAGCAACTGCATGTCCCATTTGGCGCCACGTTCTCGCCTCCAGTAGAAATCTGCCTGGGCCTATACTGCCTAAACTGTAGTGCCTGGTTCGCACACAGCCTTTGTGCTACTTCGGTCCTCCCAGAGGAATGAACGGATTTCCATGAGTAAGGGATCAATTGAAAGCTTATGACCTGGAGGCGATGCTTATTGGGTCTAAAGTCCAAATAGTACAGTCATTTTGACGTAATTGGACCAAATTTTGGCTGTAAGAAAATCATTGTACTTCAGGCCTTCCCAGGCGAAGTGTTCACCTACCACTAATGAGAATACGAGGCATTGTTGGCTTCGGACGTCGTTTCCATAGCAACTGCTGGCAATGAATTCTTGAGTTTAATCGTTACCAGTCCTGTCGCCGGTTTACCAAAGTGCTTCACATAAGTCTGGAGCATTCAGTCAGCTAGAGCATATTACTATTCTGAATTTTGGAGTTGCTCTCAAAATGCGAGGGAAACGGTGGAAAATTTTAAATAATTGTGCGGCGTGATCCACTGCGGAGTCAGCCAATGAAAAAAGAACGGCGTGCATGAAGTGCTTTCTTTCTACATATTCACAACATGCGTGCATGGGCTTTTACACTTGTAATATTCATAGGAGGCGCCAGAGGGAGTAGTTTATTTAAATCCGTATGAAGCAACATGTGTGGCTGGTAGAAATGCTAAACTGCCAAAGGCATCCGGGAATCCTGTCATTCACTTGACTGCGACACCATTAATATGGGAAGCGACAATGCGCAGAATGCAGCCTTTCAAACTTGTTGGGGCAGCATCCGTTTCCAGGTAAAACCTTGTCACATCAACAGAGGAAAAACCAGCTTTTTTCACATCCTCCTCGGTGCTCTTGTTGGGAATGCAGCCACAAGTTAGGAATCCGAAAAGGAGTGTCGCCTGAAGAATATTCTGGATCAATCTCAACCTCGTGCCTTTTTTGTCTCCCACGTGCTCGAAAAAATAGAATCTCCCTGCAGTGAACATATAGAATATTTAGCAAACTCCTGAAAGCCACGCACTGCTTCACACAATACAGGACGTCTCACTCACCGTTGGGAGCAAGGACTCTTTTGACTTCAGACAAGAATCGACCTGTGTTTTTGAACGGGACGCTACACATGACATGAGTGCACACCACGACATCCATGCTCCCACTCGAAACTTGCTTCATGTCTTCGCCCCATCCTTCGAAGAAATTCTCTAGTTCGATGTCCGGGAACTTCTTCTTGTTCTTGAAAAAGTAGTCTTTGAAGTTGCTGTTGGGCTCGATCACGCTAAGCTTGGCGTTCGAGGGATAGAACTTGAAGTTAGTCCCTGTCCCAACCCCGACCTCGAGAAGGCGGAAGTGACCGGCTTTTTTTAATTCTGGGTCCGAGGAAACGACGTCCTTCAACGACTGGAAGAAGGATTCCTTGAGACCCGAGGCTTTCTCGTCTGGTTGGGAGGTGACATGCTGCATAAACAAGGCGAATAGTTTGTGCCTGAATAGGGAATAGGTGAAGAGGACTGCGGCAATGATGCCGACTGTGCAAACCAGGCACCACATCTCCGCTGGATAGGGATGAAAACTTTCACTGCTATACCGTCACAACAAAGTGTGTTTCTTGGATATTCAGGCACGGAACTGACTACTATCCTTGCGAGGATGTACCTCGGGCAGGGACGGCTGAAGGGAAACTGTGAAGATGCACCCCTTCTCAAGCGGAAAGCACAGTGGACGAGAACAGGAAAGGACCTACATGGATGGAAGAAGGGGAGGAGCGAGCGCGAGGCACGACTGGGAATGACGTGGCGGAGCTGGATTCTCTCTTTTTATCGAAGCCATGCTGGCCTGCCTCTTTCAGTATCAGGAAAGAAAAAAGAAAGCTATTCAGGCGCTCGAGGCTTTATTTGAGTTCGCATGCCTTCCCTCAGTAGTCGATGGAAGCAAGCAAAGAAGACAGGAAAAAGGAGTGAGAGTGAGAATGAGTGAGAGAAAGAGAGAGGGGCATTCTTTCCTCATAAGTCCTCCGCGCTTCCCACCCCTGATCACGCATGTTACCACGGATATGCTCGGAGTCGGCGCGTGATCATAGGCACATTCACCCGTCTAGACAGTACTATTATTCGTTCAGGTTGTTCACCTACATTCATTCTCGTGCCTGGTTCAGGAAGGCTATGCATAGATGAAGAACGCAGCGAGAGATATGAGTATGATAGCGCCAGATGGGCAGTTTGTAAGCTTCCCTTTCAATGAATTGCTGAAAAAAAAACGATTCAGAGGATCCTCAGTTTCTTCCTTGAAGTTTGTATACTTCTGAGTAAGGTCCAGTTCGTCCCCAGAAGTCTCGGACTCGAACTCGGTAGAATCCTCTCAAACTGTCGTTATCTGTATCAGCGATTAAGAGCGGATTTCAACATCTTCACCAGGGACATGTAAAATATAAGCACACATGCGTACCGGTTTGCACTCTCCGGGTCCAGCATGGGTTCAGAACTGGTTCTACATTCAGCCTGTGAAACTCTCCCCCGGTCAGAGGCTTCCGTTCTATTTCATAGGTATCCACACACCTGAGGATAAAAAATATGTAGAAATTTTCTTCTAGTGACTATGTTTCGCAACACCCAGTGTAAATGTCCACCCAATGTATGAGACCCATGAGAAAGGATGGTTGTACTTCGTATTGATATGCAGGTCTTCCCACAGTAGGAGGATTTCATGATTGGAGATGTTGATTGCTTGAAGGTTGAAAACCTGTTGAACATGATTTTTTCAGCATGGCAACCTGTAGAATATGACCTTGTAGGTCAACCACCTCATTTTTTAAATGAGGGAATCTAGCTTACCTTCCTAGGAATAGTCAGAGACCTTGAACATGCGACGAATAACGTCACACCGGGCCCCCGAAGAAGAAGAGCGAGTTCCAACAGATTTTTTACCCCCACTTCCGAATTCTCCATCCTCTTGCTACCCTAATTTGGATCGAAGCCAGGTCATTGAGTCTAGACGGCAGACAGGCGTGAGGTTGATCATATCAATGAACGCCCTCTGGCCTTTTTTGCACTACCTGAACTGCTCTCATTCTCGAAAGCAGGGAGGGCGATGGAGACGAAGGACTTCCTTCTCGTACCCAAATCTTGTATGGATTGCTCACCTCGTTGTCCACCATGTATACTCCGTAGCCCCACACGTCTGCAGGGGAATGGAGGCCACGTCACTGCGAAATGCCTAATGTAAACCTAATATGGAGAACGCCGTTACTTCTACCTTGACGAGTTCCACGCGGCAACGCGATTCTCAGAGAAACATTCACTTGAGAGGCATTTTGATTGGAGATGATCACCGCTACGTGGGTGGGGCCTTTCGAGGCCAGACACTGCAGCGAATCCCTGCGAAGAAAATATCTGTTACTTCTCGGTCTTAGAATAAATGGCCTTTCAAATCAAGACAGTAAGCTGACCTTGGCAAATGAGGCTTTATTTTGTGTATCACGCGAGCGTCTCCCAAGTGAGCCAGCAGTGCTATGGCAGCATATACAGGCTTCATGACAAATTCAGAGCCCCCTTTCCCTGGAAACCTGAGAAAGAAGAAAATAAATTAATAGAAATAAAAATCGGCTTTTGGCGCTAGATATCGATGTAGTGCCCCCGAAAATGAGGAACCTGACGGTCAGAGTCCGCTGTTGAAAGAAAGCTGGCGGTTCATTGAGGAAGGCATTGTCATTACTGATCGACATCAAAGGATATCCTGCTTCGATCATTTCCATCTGATGCAGGATCGCGGATCTCACGACTAAGGCCGCGTAAGTTGCATCGGCTCTCCATGGCAGTCTCCTCCACCATCCCGTCCTCGGGTCGGCTTCGCTTCGATGGGGAACAAAAAATCACGCTCTCGTGAATCTTTCAAAGTGGATCCTGTCAAACTTCAAGATTCATCTTGAAGTGCCTACTCGTTGACTTTCGGCACTTGGACCAATGACGGAAACATGATGGAGAAATTCCGGAAAGTTTCTGTTTCAGCATCCAAGATGGAATCGACTTCATCCTTGCCCTGCAACACCAACTCAAGCGCATGTGATTCACGCAGGGTCATTTTAACAACTGCACAAGATGAGTTCGACGACCTTCTTGTGGACTGAAATGAAATCCAGTCGAGGCTTTTCGCCTGTGAAAAAGTCTCTTCCTCGGTCACAATGTTCCAGGAAGGCCAGACAAAAAGTGAGGAATTTTGGGGGTCGGCAGGAACCCCCCGGGCCCCCCAATCGTACATTGGGAATCTCGCTTTCCAATCCATTCCTGGTCGCATCGTAGTAGTTGAGAAATCCTGAAATAATGGCTTTTATTGTACTTAACGGTCTGCGTCCGGCGCTCCCAGCCAAAACGGCTGTCTTTTGTCTTTCATTCCGACCTTGTACGGTGAAATTGAGACCATTAAAGTCATGGTGGTCCGGCTCGTTCCACGTCTCGAAGCTCCAAGACCTCACATATTCCGCCCCAAACTTCCCTGCGAAGCAAATTATTGGTGGTGTCGTGCTTCCTAGAGCGAAAAGGTCCCTGACCCAAAGATCCACGCAATCAATGGAACTCACGAGTGTATCTCCTCGCAAGTCTCTTCATGAGCTTCCACCAGAGAAGTATCTGATCCGTCTGGGAAAAGTCGGAGAAAATCCCCCCCGGATTCCCCATGACCTCGAAGCCAGGTCGAAGGTTCAACGCCCACAGGCGATGGAGCAAGGTATCCAACGCCCTGAAAGACGTCTTCAATTTCCCTCCCTTCGCGATCCTGCAAACGACAACGCAAAAACTTGACACTTGGCTTTCAGAAGAAGCGATCTCAGTTCCCCGTCGCCTCACCTCGCCTGAACAAGGTTCAGGAGCCAGTGAATGCGGACCTGAGTGATTCCCTGGAATGGAAGACCAGCGATGTAAGCCAAGTTGGTGAAGACGTCCGGATGTAACAAGAACTCTGCGGCTTTGTCCGGATCCAGGGGCCTGCAAATACGACCAACCCCGCGTTTCATTCATGAATGCACTTGTCTGTCGTATCACCTGAGTTGTGTTTTTTTTTTGTCTACTCATCACTCACGTAAAACCCGTGCTCGTCCAAAAATGCCTTAGAGGGGCTTCTATTTTGTTGGCATCGACATCCATAACGTAATGCATAGGCACAAAGGACAATGCCAATGGCATGTTAAGGAGATGCACAAAAATGGAGCTCAGCATCAGCATTTTCCTATTTTGGCGAAGTCGTGAATTACTGCAACCAAAATGCTTTCTTCCTTGGCCAAGCTGAGTGACACCATTCGAATCATGCCATTTCCTCATGAGGTTCGAATCAAATTGTGAAACTTCCTAACTTTGTGCAAATCCAGTTTGAATCTCTTTGAACCTGAATAAATGATACAAGGATCGAATGAGAAAATGTATTTTCCTGATTCAATCCATGCGGTTTCTGTCCCTGAGAGGTGCCAGCCCTTCGCACGTGTCGCCATTGTCGCAATGGTCGCATTCGTTGAAGTCTCGATGAGCGAGGAAGGGAGGGAGAGATAAATATATGAGGAAACTACGATAGGTCGGAAGAAGAAATGCAGAAACTTGTGATGGAGTAAGGGAACGAAACGGCATGATGAGAATGAACAACTCGGGTGAGAGAATGTGATCCCTACCAGTGGATCCGAAACCTGATATACTCCTCAATAAGTACCCTAGAGGGAGAGGGTCTCTAGCTGGAGATAATCAAATATCAACATTTTAGCATTTTATTCTAAGAGAACGGAGAGGAAAAGTAGGCTTGTGGAGAAAAGAGGAGACTGATACAGTCTCCATAATAATAATAATAAACCCTGCTTCCCACGGGACGAGCAGAAGCATCTTAGGATGATCCAGAAGGTTCATATTCGTTTAATGCAACTCGATAAGGTGATATATGAATCGTTCACGTCCTGCTCAGATCAGATCTCATTCTATGATGGAGCATCCGGAGTCGAATCTCTCAACCCTGATTCATCGATGATTCACTATTCGAATCACGATTTGGATTCAGTCATCGCCGCCCAGATCGGGTACGGCATGCAAACAGGATAAGGATAGAACGGGGATCCCTATACGATATTCCTGGCGCCATGAATTACGTCAAACGAGGCACTGACACAGGGACACCGTCAATCATTGGTGATATATACCACGCACGCGAGGATCCCCTTCCAAAGAGAGAGATAAAATGAGTGAGGGAGACAGAGTGAGAGAGAGAGAGAGAGAGAGAGAGAAAGGATGGGTACGCGGGGAGGGGAGGGAATAGTAAACGTGACCTTGGCATGCCTTTGCCTTCTTGCTTGTTTCTGCCCTCTCTATACCTTGGGTTTTGGACGTGTTTTCCTCTTTCGGTAACCACGGCAACCTGAATGGAAAACGTTGTTATGTTATCTTATCGAAGCGAATACTGTGCCTCCTTGTTGTTCTGGCTCGTGTGGAGAGGGAATTTTTTTTTTGTTTGCCCCAACCTGTAAGAAAACTGGCCCGAAAAGCAGCATGGGGACAAAGGATTGATTCCAGTCACAGATTTCCACCTTTGAAAAAGGGTGGAAGGTGGAACATTTTTTTCCGCCCATGGTCTCTTTCAAGACCTTGGGCGAAAAAATGCTCGAAAAAACGACGACCAGGCGTGTCATCTCCGGAGGCGGCTCACGCGTGAGTGTGAAAAATGTCCGCTGCTTTCTGGGCGTCGCACGAGATCGCCCATCTTTGGACTTAAGTTACATCAGATAGAAAATGGCATCCAAAGATGGAAGTGAATTTTTTATGAGACAAAATAATGAACAGGCTACCCTACTTTCTCAAACAAGCTCTGATTTAACGCATCGCTCATCGCTCATTTTTTCTTTAACCCTTTTCTGCTGTCGGACTTGGTTCGACTCAATGAACCAATGAATTGAACAAATGTTTTCCGTGCTTGTTGGTGGGTGGCAAGTAATCATTCATTGCCTTATTTGATAACGGAGTGCAAAAGGTTAACATGCCACGGTCCTTATATTCTTAGCGGGAAACGCTCTGACCGCTGTCTTTTCCACACCTGGGGAGGATTTCCCCCCAAAATTGCATATGCCAACTTGTTCGAATGTTTTCGATTTTTCTTGAAATTTGTACGAAAAGCTTTGATGCATAAATGGACAGACAAGACACTAAGGCGTACGCAGGACACTTTCCCTCAATGAGTTTTGTGGGATAGTTAAAAAATATATATCCGTAGTTCTTCGTCTGATTTCACTTTCCTTCTCTTAACTTTCTTCTTCAAATATTACTTCTTCATCCAAGATCTGCCTTCTTTTTTATCAGCCCTTCTTGACATTCAGCATTACTTGCAATTTTCGCAGCATGTCCTGTAATTACGAAATAATGGCGTCATTTGTCTTTCCTTCGTCGACCCGAAATTCTCGAGAGGCCAAGGTTGAAGGGGTGCCAGAGAGAGATTGCTGGTCACCGAGCCGATTCATGACTGTTTTATGGAAGTGACACCAGCCGGAAAAAAAAATCAACTGAAGTGTAGCCAAAAAGACCGAGAACCCTCTGCCGCCCTCGCGTCGTCTCATCCATGTCAAATTCAGGCATTGAATTTTTATCTCCTATCGATTTATCTTTTTTTTTAATATGAAAATCATCGGGAGGGAATGCAATCTCATTTCCCATCAGAATGGACGAAGAATAAAATCGTTTCACTCAACATCGTTCACTACTGTGAACGGACGTGAATGACATGCGAATATTGTTGTCGGTCATACTACATTTCAACGCTGACCTCTAAACTTCTAAGTTTCGAAAGATAAG